TGTTAAAGCATAAAAATGGAGGAGAAGGTCTGAGACCCCACATGTGAGCTTTCCTTGAGCCCTGTGAGAAAATTTAATAGTACCCTCAAGGAACAGAAGGGTCCCCTTGACATGGCATTACAGAGGAGAAGTGAGACCCTTCTTAGTAGAATCCTTCCACTCTGCAAAGTTCATTCTTGAGTCAGAAAGCCCCAAACCTCTTTTCAGATTAACGGTGTCATCAGCAAGACTGTCAAGCTCACGCTAAGAGGAAAGGTTTGTCTCTTCAAAAAGGGGAAGTGTGGCAAGATCAGAAAGTGCTTGAGTTTAGGAAAGGAGCATTGGCTAGTTGAAAAATGTACCTTAAAGCCTCTCATTTTAAGAAAGCCTCTATTTTATCCTAAGAGTTTTCCACCACTGTAAAGAATCAAAAACAAGAAGAAGAAGAAGAAGAAGAAGAAAAACCTAGTATCTGAGACCTTTATAGTTTTTGCTGAGAAATGAAGGAAAAGCAGCAGCAGCAATATCTTGGAACTTAGAAGTAGAGCTTCATCTAAAATGTGACTGCCGGAACGCCCTCGCTGGCAAGGCTCAGAAATACCAGTGAGGCTGGGAGAGATCTTTCCTGAAAAACCCCAAAACGTGTATAGAACCCAGACTTAATACACAATACTCATACATACATTTCCATTTGATCTACCTTTTTTTTTTTTTTTCTGGATACAGTGGATCAAACCCAGGACCTCATATACATGTTCTAGCACTGAGCTAACTCTCCAGTTCCCTCAATTCCTTCTTTTTAACTTTGTTTTTGGTTTTTTTTTTTTTTTTTTTTTTTTTTTTTTTTTTTTTTGTATCTTAGATAATCATTACTTTATGTTTTGGGGGCTGGATTGGCTTTATAAGATCAGAGAGGTAAGACAACTAAGTAACTCGCCCACGGTTGCAAGATACTTGAGAGGTATAATAGGAAATATTCACAAATATTAAAGGATGAACTCACCCTCTATCAGATCTTCAGGGGACACATCAAAGGAAAGATGCCAAATAAAGAGAACAAAAAAATCAACCACTTAGTTTCGGCAAAATGCTGTTGAGTCTTAAAGCAGATACAACAGACTTCTGATTTGCAAGATCTGGGCATGTTTAACTCAAAGACCACAGGCCAGAAGAAAGCAGAACACTCTGAAATTAAGTGAGAGTTAGGCCCTCTCGTCATACACCATACATCCTCTTATTCAGTGCTACTGACACCAGGCCCCATGAAGTATGACTCCAGAAAGAGAGGAAAAGGCAGAGACAGGAAAGCTCCCAGGAAAGATTCTGCCCTCCTCTGCCTAAATTCTAGTCCTAGATTGCAAGGAGATAATCCTGAAACCCAAGGCAAGAGGTGAGCCTCTGCCATAGAGGGAACCTGTGTTTTGCTACCAATATGAAAGCCAGTTTGAGGTAAGCCTCAGAATGTCCTTTGTGTAGAAGAGAAATAACTACACACAGATCAGTGCAGAGAAGACTTGAGATTCCAACCTCATTGTAATCATTTTGATGCCACAAGAGCTTAGAAGAGCATCCTCAAGTTTTCTGTGACCCTGAACATGGCCAAATGGGGCTGTAAGAAAGTAGGTAAATCCAGAAGGGTCTGACATAAATGGAAAAGGACTTCACATAACCTTAAGAGACATGGTATGTAGAGGTCATAGATGGCATCTCAAATAGTCTCACTAGAATGGTGAGGATGCAATCATTAGGGCTTGCTATCTAAATGTCCCCCCAAAGCCTCATGTATTTATAGGAGGTGAGGCTTTGGGAAGGTGGATGGATCATGAATATGTGATGCTAAGTTAAGGTGTGTGACACTGGTGTGTGATAACTAACCTGGTTTAGCATAGCTCTGGGTGTGGATAATGGAAGTCCTACCCTAGATGTGGGTGGCTCCAATCAATAGGCTTATAGTTGGAAGGAATAGAAAGGAACAGAAAGAAAGCCAGCCACCTGTCTACCCTGCCATGGACTGTTTCTCCTCTGTGATGCCCCTCTGCCATGCTACCCTACCTTGGAACTAGCCTATTACAGACTGAAACCTTTAGAAACTGTGAGCGGAAATACTATAAACCTTTCCTCATTTAACTCATGGGTTTGGGGTATTTTGTCCAGCAGCAAGAAAGTAAGATACCAACTAACTGCAGGTGGCAAGAACTGCACAGAAGTGGAGGATGTCAAAGAAAAACAGCCATGACCAGGAACTGCATCCCACTAGCCTTGCAGCTCAGAAGCCCACGTATCACCCCTACTTTCCTAGAGAGTAGCTAAAACTCCAACTTCACAGAATTTACCTGAAAGTGACTCTATGAACGTTTTTATCACCAGATGAAATTTGGGTCCAAAACCAAAATAACGTTGAAAATAAAATGCCAAGCAATAACACTAATACTAATATTGCCATTACTTTTTGCCAGTACTTGAGACTGAAACCAGGGAGCACTGGGTTACACTCATAATCCCTTTTATTTTGAGACAGGGTCTCATGAAGTTGCCCAGACTAGCCTGAAAGAGGTTCCAAAAAGGACTGATGACAGATAAGTAAGCAAGCTTCATCCCAACTCTTTCTACTCCCTCACTCCACCTACAGCTAAATTGTCAACTGAAAGGTACCTTTCATTGCACTTCTGAGCTCTCCCTTGGATCTGTTCCCTTCTCTTTATTCCAACTGTCAGGCTCAGTCCAGCCCTTAGCAGCTATAGGGAAAGAACTGTCAAATCACAGAAAAAGATCAGCCTTCCCTTGATCAAATTTGTTGAAGTAAAACATTATTAATTCAAATGTTTCATTTCACATGATCACCCTGGGGAATCGTTAAAGCCATCATTGCCCAGAACATTTTCTTATCCTCCAGGGAAACACTGATCAAATCCATGTTAAATAGCTGAACATTATACCCTAATAGGAGATTATAATCTCCTCCACTAGGATACTGTGGGATGCTGTAATAGATTAACTATAGCCACCCACTCTTACCCTCACTAAGTACTTTCTGCTTCTCCTCAAGCACACAAAAACGCTGTCCTAAGTCACAACCTAGAAATTAAATTTTAAACAAAGAAGGTCATTCTCAGAACTTCATGGAAAAAACTTTCACAGAGTGTAAGCTACTGACATTTCAGCCAATAGACTCATTGGTTGGTGCTTATGAGGTGAATTTTCTTAGACAATTTTGAAAATTGTCTAAAATACTAAGTGAGGATTTCTGAGATCAATTTTGGTCCAGAGGTAAACAACTTTTTGAAAGCAAAACTGTTGGTCCAAGATTAGGTGGAATAAAAAATGCGTCTGTAGCACTGAAGGAACTGACGTGTTTGGGGATGTTGCTGGATATGTGGATCATGCTTTTTCATTCTTCTGATATCTCATAATTAAGTTGGTAGTCTACACTACTTGCAAATGTCTTCAAACATTTAAATGGCAATCCTGTTTTCAATGATGTTTCAGAATTTAAAGCAAACTTTTTTAGATCTCTATGTTTAATGGCATTGTGTTTACTTACATAGGTTCAGTAAGAATGTGTTTGAATTTTTACCAGTGAATAATTATACAAATAAAAAGGCAATCAGGACCATTCCCAGAGTGTCATATTTGAGAAACAGCCTCATTTAGTCATGTATAAAGGTCACCATTTCAAAACAAGGGCTCCTCTTCATCTGGAGAAGCAAAAAGCTCCCCAGAATAACTATAGCAAGGGGGTACCCTTAACAGGTGTGAATGCCCTTGAGGGGAACTATTCTCACCCTCATTAGACAATACAGGCAAAATAGCAGAGGTGATTGTCTTGGTTTTGTTCCCTAGCCTCAGAATAGATTAAGGCAAGAAACAATATACTTGGAATAACAAAGACTACTGAAACTTCCCAAGAAGACTCTTTTAAAAATTTCCAGATATTAGTTAATTTTCTGGACTCTGGAGTTACTTAACACCACAAGGCTCTAGATTTTCTCACCAGACTACATTACAAGGAGGATTATGTGCATTAATTAACTATTTTTACTTCAGCTATATCAATGAATCACATTCAGTGGCAATGAAACCAGTTTTTTGGAAACAGTAACAACCTTTGGAGATGATTTTTGACCATAATGTTTTATGATTTTTGTCTTTCCACATTCTGACTAAAAACCTCCCAAAGACTCTACAATACTCCTTAAAACACAGTATACAATACTCCTTAAATTATCATGGACAAACTTAGAATGGAAGTCATCTTTTGCCTTGAAAAAAGAAAACATTGACTACAATAACACAAATGAATAACCTTTCACCCTGTTTTCTCTACTCCATCACAAATGGCTGCTAGTGTTAGAAGACAAGAGTACACACATACATACACACACACACACACACACACACACACACGCACACAGCACTCTCCATGGACTAGCTTGTCATGACTGAGAAAGGCAAATTCAAATTTCACCTTGGGTGTCATTACAGAAGATTTAGGAAGAGGGAGAGGCCAGTGGAACAACATTCCTTTCTCCATCAAGAAGAGCCAAAGAAGCTCAAGCTTTCCTGCCCCTCCTCACCCCCACCGAGGGATTCTCTTTCATCTGTCTCCTGGGTCTGTGCTACACTCCAAGCAGTGTATATTAATATTGGCCCTGGAGAAGATCAAAGGATCGGAGAGCTTAGAGTTCAAGAAAGACCAAGATATACTGGAGGGCAGGGTTTGGTGTTAAAATACTGAAAACCCTGCCCCTCCCATACCATAGCCAATTTGACTTCTAAGAGATCATAGAGCATAGCTTGGGCTAATAGAGTTATTTTCAAAGACTCTCAGTTCTTCTTTGTCTTTCCAAGAGAGTTTAGGACCCCTAAACAACCAGAGAACTTGCTTGCCATGTTAGCCCATTTCCACAGCATAAACCTGAACAGCTCTGTTGAATGCCAAGTTTCTAGGACAAAGCTGGACAAACCACCCTGCCCTGACCATCCTATCCCCTTCACGGATGTCTCCTAAAATCCCCACTCACCATTCTTTTCTGCCTTGTGTTTGGGTGGCTCAGGTTCCGGGATACAAGGACAGGGCCCATCACAGAGAGTGGTGAGGCTTTTGCTAGTAGAACAAGCATGGAACTCCAACTTGCACTGTAATAGAGAAAACAGCCAGTAAGAACACAGCCACCAAAGACCACTGCTTAGTTTCCTAGGAAAGAGCCAGTGCCTTTAATCCACAGGAGCAACACAGAAAAGGGAAAAGTCCACCTCAGTCAAAGGTCTCAATAACAGAATACTAAATAAGAAATGTACTTTCATGCTTTTCCAAATGTGCAAAACAGTTTCCAAAACACTGTACAAGTACCAGAAGACTTACTGTAAACTCAACTGTTACTATTTATAAAATAAAATTATTAATGTGAAATTTAACAATTGTGAAGTCATATATGGTCAACGACTACACTAACCTGACTGCTGAAGGGTTCTTCCCCACATTTCTTCCCACATAAAAGCACTCAGTACGTCAAACAGTCCTAAGTAGGCTCGTCATGTGCTCTTCCTAAGGAAGAGGATAACAATCACTTGTCTTCTATAAATGTTGATGGTATATCTCAGCTCTGCCTCTTCTCCTTGGGAGCAACATTGGGTAAATATTTTTGAACCCAAAATTATGTTTGCCCTTTCTGGCTGGAGGAAGCTTGTGGCTATGTAACCAGCCTCAGAAGCCCATATGCTGTAACCTCCTGTCACTCTCTAACAGCAGCAACACTAATCCTTGGATTCCTTTCTTCTATCTCTTTACCTTGAAGTCTAAATAGACTCAAGTCACAAACAGGAGAGAAGGAGGGTATTTATAAGTGCAATAGACCACAGAAGTTCCCGGCTTTTTTATTATTACCACATACGGAAGATGGAAATCAGACTCACAGGAGTTAAATTACTTGTGAAAGATTATATTGCTCATTCAAGCCCATATCTTACTCCAAGGCTGAGCTCATAAGGGTCCTCGCTCACTTTCTATCATGTGGAAGGGCCTCTTGAGCACCAACAGTCCATACTGTATTGTATGTGGCTAATTATGCACCTTTGCTATTGGTCTAGATCTGAGTTGTCTGACAGTTGATTCTCTTTTTGCCTGTAACCAACCCAGAAACATGTGGATACCTGATGGATGTTCAAAGGAAGAAGGGATAGGCAAAATTTACTAGGCACCTACTCTACTCTATGTGCAGCTCTTATCAAGTGCCATGATACCTTTGAAAAAAGACCACTAGCATTTGCAAAGCAACACACATGAGTACAGGTGAAGAGTGGCTAGGAATGGTGAGGACAAGCTATTCAGTCCCCACACTGACTACAAAGCAAGGCAATGAGGTTTTAAAGCCAGTTTTCAATATACTGGAGTTGCACTGTATATCACCAGCTGTCACCCACCCAGTTGCTGGCTACCCTTGTAGGCAGAGAGTGACAGGTCAAGCCTATGGATTCCTAGCTTCCTCTTAAGGCTAAAGTCCTTTTTGGAGAACTGTGTAAGATTCCTGGTATACGCATGGGGAGACAGGAAAAGTTATAGGACATATGCAAAGAAGCCCTGCCCAGGTCTCAAACATCAACTGACTTAATGATTAAGAAGATGATGATTATGCAGAAATGATGATGACGAAGTCAGAAACCACAAGAGTGTAGAGACACAGCATAGGTATGAAATGTGCCTATAGACAACCCAAAAGGGGCTGACAGTAAGCTGAGAGGAATGTTACAGGTGGCAGGCAGGTAAGTAACTAGAAGAAGATCCTTGTACAACAGCACAGTATCTGTTATCTGCAGACAACACTGTGGTCCAAAGATCTCTATGGGCATCTTTGGCAGCCCTCCTCCCTCCTCCCTCTTCCTCCTCCTCCTCTCAGTTTTCTGCAACAAGCCTCAATTTTGGACCAGTGGTTGTCAAACTGTTTTCTCAAAAGAGCCTGTGAAGCTAATTTAATGAGGGGAAATACACATTTATGTGTAAACTTATTTTATAAAGTTTAAATTATTATACTTATTTATAATAAAGCTTTATCATACTGTTGCTGAAATTGCCTGCTTGTATCTGTGATCAACTGTAATACTTTACCCAAGTAATCTCTGCCCTCTCTGAAGCTCCCTACTCTGGACCCTTCAGTGTAACACCTGCCTGTAGATGCTCGGCTCCCCTCCTCCTGATACCAGCCCAAGCACAAGAGTTGTTCCTATGGGTGGGTCAGCCGGGGGGATGAGGAAGCCCGGTTTGCATAGACATTTCAAGAGCTAATGCCTGATTGCATCACTTCACTTGCTGCCTTCTCCTCCTGTGAAAATAACGTGGGCTGGAGATGGGCTATTCCTTGTGTCTGAGACCCAGGAGGCAGAGGACATGGAACAGAACTAAAGCCATCCCACAGCCAGCACTCAGCAGGAACAAGGAAGCAACTCACTTTGTTAACTGCAGATGTTTGGCGATCATGTATTACTACAACATGACTCAGCAAAAGCTGATCGATGGAACAGCTGAAGTCCTACTAGACATGAAGTACTTTAGAGCAGGAAGAGTCTTAGTCACCATCTTATCCTTGACATGACACGGTACACAGATGACCCTGGCACATAGTGAGTGTTCAATAAAAGGCTGTTTAGTGATAAAGGCAGAAGGAATGGCAGCACTGGTCACTCTCTGCTCTAAACCTCTATTCTGCTCACCAGCAGCTTCCCAACCTGCACAGGAATGCAGTTGCTGGAGCTGTCTTCCTTGCCTCTCCCTTCACCCATATCCACTCTGAGTTCCCAGTTAGAGCTGTACATTCATGCTCTGCCTCTCACCTTCCTTGTGTGTCCCACATGCTTCTGGAGTCAGAAACCAGTCTACCTGCCCCCTCGAAGACCAGACACCTATTCTCTGGGAGGCCCTGGGTTAACCAGGAGCCCTATGGCTGAAAACACTGTATTCAGCTTCCTTGACAGGGCTGCAGCATCCTTTCCCCTGCAGAGCCAAAGGCAGCAATCTGTGAAGACAGATAGCCCCATCCTGGCTCCAGATAGAAACAGCACTTATCTGTGCCAACAAAATCCAAATTTCAAGGGTATAGATCTACTTCTCATCTTCCGGGACAATGTGTGGCATTTCAATAAGCTCAAAAGGCTATAATTCCATATTTTCTAAAGCTCAAAACAGGCTACTCAGAGATACACACATAGGTGGTAAACATTTGTTTAAAAGGTGGGGGGATGACAAATACCATCAAGATAGGGGTCACCTTCCCAGGCGAGGAAGCAGAAGGGGTAGATAGGAGCCCAAAGGAAGCATCACAAAAGTAGGCTTTATATCTGGATGTACCCACCAAAGCCTCATATCCTCAAAGGTGGGGCCTGTGGAAGGTGATTGGATTACGGAGGCCTATAGCTAGGGTGATGTTAAGAGGTACCATCTGGCTGAAAGTAGTAGGTCACTGTGGACATGACCTAGAAGGATATATCTCTTTTCCTGGCCCCTCCCTTGTCTCTGTCTACTTCGGAGATGCCACGAAGTGAGCAGTTTCTCTCTGCTCAGGCATTTCCACCACGCTGTTCTGCCTAGGATCTGGCTGATTACAGACCAAAACATTACAAACTGTGAGCCAAAATAAACCTTTCTTCCTTTAAATCGTAGGTGTTGGGAATCTGTCTCAGCAATGGGAAAAGGACTGAGAAAGATTTTGCTACTGGAGAAGTGGGGTCGTTGCTGTAGCTCTCTGACCATGTAGTTCAAAAGCCTTTGGAATTAGCTTGCAGGAAATGTTTAAAGACAGTATCTAGAGAAGCAGCCGTAGAATGCTGTACCCTGAAATTGATGGAAGAGTCTTGTCAGAGCTCAGAAGACCAGAATGCTGTTAGAAACACTCATGGTAAAGACCAGGCTCAGGAGGTTTCCATAGGGAACAAGGATTCCATTGTCAGTTGGACTCTGGGCCGTGGGTGTCATGATCTGGTGGAACATTTGTCTACATTTTGCTCATGTCCTGAGACTATGCAAAAGACTGAAATTAAGGGTGGTGAGTTAACTAATTGGGTAGAAAACAATTTCAAAGCAGTGTAACATTCAGGCTATAGTGTGAATTATAGTGTGAATACTGGTTGCTGCTTTTAGCCAGGTTTATACTGAAAACCAGGAGGAAGAAACCCATCTGAAAAGTTTTCAGTTTTTCCCGAAGTGAAGGGCCTATAAAGTTGGAGTAGAAGCCAGTTTGGTTGCTAAAAAGATTAACATTTAAAAGGAAGCAAGGGGTCGGGGATTTTGCTCAGTGGTTCCACCAACTGCTTTGCAAGCACAAGGACCCAAGTTTGATCCCGGCACCAAAACATATTTTTTTTAATTCAAATAAAAAATAAAGGGAGTCAAGTACTATAGAATAGGACAATAAGAAAGATGCCTTGAGGGCACATAAGTTTCCACCCTTAGCACAGCACATTTAAAATTGCAAAAGTGAAAGACTTTGCTTTAGAAGTTAGCCCCAGAGTACTGTGCTCCAAAATAGCTACCTAGGAGACTTGTCCTTAGGGATTCAGTTCACACTTTCCACCATTTAGGTACTCAGAGGCCTTTACAGCCAAGATTCAAGAAGCCCTGCTACTCTCCACATGGTAACAGACCTTGGCGTCCTTCACATGGTGCTGGTCTTGTAGACATGGAGAATATAAGAGTAATGGGGCCAGGGAGGCTTCCATTCAGATTTCAGAGGAAAGCCTAGGAGACCAGGAAGTATGCCCCTAAGAAGCTGTGAGAGTGAAATTAAAAGTGCAGTAGAGCCTCCAAGAATGAGGGGATGCCAGGAACATGGAGCATCTAAAGAAAGGCACAAGGAGTGAGCAAAGCCAGCCCAAGACACAAGCCATAGAAGCACTAAGGGGCATTACATAGGAGCAGGGTCACTCAAACCCTTTGGAGTAGTTCACATGTCATTGCCATAACTTGCCCCCGGTGCTGGACATGGGACTACCAGGATTTGTTGTTTGTCCTCCTGAGTTTTGATCTCACATTGGTTCCACTGGTTTCTATCCCATTATCTCTCCCTTTTGGAATAGGAATGTTTACCATGTGCCATTGCATGTTAACAGTTTTTAACTTTCTTTTGATTTTTACAGGAGCTCACACCTAA